TCATAGTTGCACATCCTTCTAGTTGCTGTATGTGGGATGCCGCCTCAGCATGGCCTGACAAGCCGTGCGACGGTGTGCGCCTGGGATCCGAACCTGGGCCGCCAATAGCGGAGCACACGCACGTAACCGCTAAACCGCTAAGCCACGGGGCCGGCCCCAACGTTGACTGCTTTAAGATACTATGTTTCAGGGCAATTAATTACATAATAATAGACAATACATTTCAGTTAAAGGATACTGAAGAAAGTTGGTCAATTACATAGATGTCACCCAAGCTTAGCACGTCTCATTCAACAACAAAATAGCCTTAGTATTTACGTCTCATGGCTTTCCTACCAAATCCACGACCTCCATGTTAAAAGCTCCCACCATATACTAATCCATACAAAGCAGGAGATCTCACCCTACATTAAGATTCAGGTCATTCAATGACAAATTTTACTTCATCTACCTGGAAATCTCAGATATGCAGAAAATTTCAGTCTTAAAGCGGATAAATAGAACCATTGTCTCCATCTCACCAAACTACACACCTGACCCACATTGCATAAATCTGTCCTTCAAAGAAGTTAACTGCTTCACTACTCCATCACTGCTCTTAACAAAAGATCGGCCACTTAAAATATGTTGAATAATTTGGTCAATAATTACATGAACACGAATTAGTTGAGAATGGGCGACATAGAAGGGGCCCTAGGTAATCTGGCATCACAGCTCACTGGACAAGAGAAGCAGGTTATTTGAGGGGCCTTTTAGGAAACCCTAGGAAAATTAATGAAAATACTCTCATGACCTAAAAAAAACATACACCCATTTCAACAAGGAGATAAACATCGACTTACACAGGCCATGGTTTTAGAGCTGCAAGAGCTGATCAGTCCTCTGGGTTCCTCTACCAGAAAAGCAGAGTCCAGAAAACCCAGACCTGGGAGAAGAGAAAGACCTTGAGACGAGTTGGGCTTGAGTGTTCGCACACGGGACTTACCTTAACATACCTTCTTCTTCCCATTCCCAACTTCAAGACTGAAAAGAGGCCACATCATCCAAACCAGAACCTCTTTTGTGGCCTTGAAGTTGGATGAAGTTGATCAAAATATTAGAGATCGACAAGGAATGTTCCGCATTCTGAGTCTATCTAGCAAAGCCTACTAAATATATGACAGGCCAACACTGTACAAAATATAAAGTAGTCATTAAAAGGTTTAAAGTTGGGAAGAACTTTTAAGGACACGAAAAATATTCCATACACAGTGTCAACAGAAAAATCAGGTTGACGAATATATTTATTTTTATAAGACATAAGAGAATATTAATCAACACAGAGAGAAGAATGGCAGACAGACAATCATAAAATGGAAGCCAGAAAAAGTCTGGAAATTTATATGGCCATATATTAACAGTTCTTATATTTTTGGTTATGTTTTGTATTGTTTTGTTTTTCGGGGGATGTTTTTAGAATGAATCACTGTTTATTCAGTTGTTTTTAGTCAATACATGAAACAATCAAATAAGACTAGTGAAGATGTAAAATATACCTCTGCCATGAGCAGAATTTGACAACAGCATTCTCTTTGTTTTCGCTTAGATCTTGATTTTTTTAAAGTTTATTTCATAATCATTGTAACAGTTGACAGTAACTTGAAATGTGTGTTTTTTTAATTCGTTAGGTTTGAGACTTCCATAAAGTTCTCTGTTCTTTAAATTCAGATTGTTTTACTAAATGGCTTACATTTTGTTTGTTTCCTTTGGATCCCAATACAGGAAGTCACTTTATCATTTCTTCTCAGGCATGTTGGAATTCTAATCTACAAAAACTGGGGAACAGTCCCTGAGTAATTTCTTTTGCAAACTGATGACAGTCTCAATACAGCTTTCTTTCAGATCTTTTTGATAGAAGAACTGTTTCTAAACCTGTCAGTTTTGTCATGATATCCTCCAGATAGCTGCTGAATTATCTTATCTATTAATTCTGCTGCACATCTAATATCATTCATGAAATGTACTATACATCTAATATCACTGATGAAATCTACCATACTTGTAATATTAATGAAATCTACAAGATATAAAGAGTGTACAAAGTCCATTTATTGCCACACAGATCCCAGTATATTCTCTTCATATACTGTCTGTCTCTATAGTCACACACATGTCTCATTTCTGTGAACTCACAAGGCAAGTCATCTGAATCTTTCCATTGGCCTTTATCACACACTACCTTACAATTACTCCTACGCAGATTTTAACTTCCTTCATAGATTACAAGTACTTTGAAGGAAGCAATTATGTCTTTTTAGTGATTGCATTACTCCAAATATTACAATTTCCAGGCCTGCCATATTGTAGACAATTAAAAGAAGCATGATTTTTGACCACAAAACACCACTTCTACAAAATTTTTAAAGGAAATAACTATAGAGGTTCATAAAGTATATGCATAAGGATGTTCATCAGAGAACAGTTTTTGATAGTCCAAAATTAGAAAGATAAAACTGTCACAGTAGGCAAACAGGTTAAATATACTACGCTCTGCTATATTGTGACATACTATGCCATTATTAATAAGGATGATATTAAACCACATAATTGATGGAAAACAATATTAAAAGAATTGCTTGGTGAAGAAGGCAGGTTTAAAAAAGTATGCATAATTTAAGAGGTGGTATCCTGTTGAAATTAAGAAAATAGGCACTGATTTCAGACTTTCAGGAAGTGATATTGAGCTTTGAAGTGAGTTAAAAATATCTCAATGCCTATTAATTCATCAGCAAAGTAGGGATATGAATATCCCCTATGACATGAGTATTTTGAAGACTAAGCCTAATCCATACACAGAGTAAAATGTATATCATGATGACTAATGTAAATTATCTATCATTACTGAACATGAAAATTATTCCATGTCTCTTAATCTTTTATTATAAAAGGAAATTAATTTTAGTGCTTTCTCTTTTTATTATATTAAAACTGTGCTTCTTGGCTTTCTCTTTCGTATAACTCTGATTTTTAAAATTTCAAGACCACCATCTGAGAAAATAGAATTCTGCTTAATAAAATCATCAGTTAAAAAAAGAGAGAGATCACCAGACAAGAAAAGAGAAAATGTCCCCAGCAGCTACAGAGAGCAAGAAAAACTCTGTCTGGCATCATAACCTTGTTCAAAGAACAGCATGATAAATGTGAAAATATTAACTGGAGGATGAATCTTATTCTTCTGCACAATATAGAGAGTTATATAATATTTATAAATATAATCTTTATTTTCTGGTATAATAACTACATTTGGAAATACTATCTGTACTTTCAAGACACCTAGAAATCAGACATTAGTCCTATTTTGTTCTGAAAGTAATCTTAAATCTAAATTATTGATTCTGAAAGAGTGTCTTACTTAGTAATACGGTGTACTGGTAATTAAGTTTTAAGTAATATTTCTATTAACTAAAAGGTTTCACTACTTGGAATGCTTTTCAAAAAAGAAGTTCCTGGCCCTTTCCTCTTCTCTCTACATGCACAGAGATATAAAGAAACCTATGATTGAATAAGATTTCTTTTTCAAACTAAGAGTTGGGCTCTTTGTCTCCTTTATTTGATCAATTCTATTCTGCCAAAACAAAACCTCATGGAAATGGAAAAATAAAACACTGGAGAAATAATACATGAAAACATTAAAAGTGATTATCTCTAGATAGAGAGATTATGGGTTA